GAGACCTGGGCATTAGCAACCTGTTTCAGCCTCATGTTACTCCCAGCCGCGGCTTGGCCTGGTGCCCTGACTGGCAAGGGGTGTTACACTGACTGTTAATGGCGAGTGAGAGGAGGTTATTTGACCAGTGATACCATTCCAGTCACAACTCAAAAGCTTTATTGGACTACGTACTAGCAAAGTCTTACTTGTATCAGTAAAGACAATGTTTATGTAGCCTTGAATTGAGGGAAGAACCTGGCCCACTGGCCAGGCTTTTCTGTTCCCCTGGGCACTTCAGTTGGTTCACTGAGCTTTGGAGAAGTCCAAAGTTTTTTTTAGCTTATGCCCAATATTTACAGTTGGCTGGATTTCATATTCTAATAAAAGGTCTCTGACAGGTTTTATTTAAATTTCTTTGTTTCATTGAAATTGTTAGAACTGGACGGAACTAGATCTCCTGTTGGCACAGAAAGGCTTGAGAAAGTAAAGAGGGTGGGCTTCATGTTTCCTTTTCCTGTTACTGTACTACTTTGCTCTAATTTATGGTCTTCTCTAGCAAGGCTGCTTTGTTTCTACAGATCTAGGCAAAAAAACCTATCTACTAGAGCCCTTTATAACTGCTCTAAATAAAGCACCTGTAGCATTACACTGTGGTGCCCTGAGACTTTCTGGGGCAAGAGAGAACAGCAAATTGTGATGGCCCCATGCCTTTTTTTTGAGGACCGTAATGCAATGCCATTCTGGTTTGTTCCCTGGGAAAGTCAGCAAATCATAGCCCATCCCCTCGCTTTATATCTCAGTTTCTTCAGCTTTAAACTGGGAATAATACCTGCCTCCCTGAGTAGCAGGGCAAGGGCAGTTCTGTTTTGAAAAGTGACTTCAATGATTTCAGACTATATGTACTAGTCTCTGTGATTTCATATAAAAAGCTTTGCGTTTTCTATTTTTTCGTCTCCCAGGGCATCTATACACGAGCATGGAGGCTGCTCCAATGCACTGGACATCCACTGTGTCAGAGCAGGCTCGATTCATTGAGTCTGTTGGAGCGTGACAATTGCTGTGCTCCAGCAGCCTCATGTATCGTGGTTAAAAATGATGGTGGAGGTGCTTGAATGAGCTTTAGTTCAAGTGCCCCCACTGCCATGTTGATAGAGTAGACGCGGCAGCGCTTTGAGATGCTCTGATTAAAGCAGTGCCACCCCCTCATCCCCCAGAGCACATGTAAAAGCACCCCCGGATTCAGCCAGTGTTTCCAGGCAAGAAGGCCTCCTTTCTCTTCATGCACCAGCCATGTAGGAAAGGTTTTGCAGGAAAAAAATGGGTCCTCTGTCATCTCTGTGAAACTCCCTTGTCTTGCATGCCGATTCAGGCCTAACGGCCTGGAATTTGGGAAACAGTCCTCTGGATGTGCCAAGATACGATATCATCCACGTCTGAGTCTTGCCTAGCTGTATTGCCTATTCACTCCCATTTACTCATGATGGCTGTAAAGACTGATTCTTGTCCCGAACCCACAGGAGAAACACTCAAGAGGAAGCTCTGGCTCGGCAGAATGTTCTGGAGGCAAGGGGGGGGGGGGAAGGGTGCAATGTTCTGGAGGAAAGC